TTTCCATCGAGTTTAATCACAGGGTATGGTAATACTTAGAGAGATGGAAGTCTCTTGTATTTAAACTACATTCTCCATTTCACATCTCCGTTGTGAAATCGCAGGCCAACTTCCCCTCAGTAGTTAGACTTAATCACTCCAACCAACTCAGTAACTCCATTAATTATGATTGAGAGACATAAGGAGTCCAAAGTGGCTGAACAGCAGTCTAAATTTCCAGATCAGTGCCATTATTGTTTCCTATTCTGGTGAACTTATGCTCTGCTGGCTTAGAGGCCTTGTTCTAAAGGAGACTGCTTCTACTGTCTCCTTTAGAACAAGACCTCTAAGCCAGCAGAGCATAAGTTCACCAGAATAGGAAACAAATTTTTGCTAATCTGTCACTAGGGATCATAGTGAATGGTTCCACCCTTATTTCCACCCCTGACTCATGGATCCATGAATCTTAGCTATAGGAGAAAGAGTGCCATATATTGAATGTTGATTCAGAGCATATGTAGCCTTCTGGAGAACTTTTCCTCAGCGCTAGAAGGTATTGCCATGCATCTGGTGCTGTAACTCAGTCTTCAAAAGGCAATTCCACCATTCTGTCAAGCCAGCTCCTTCAGAATGATGTATAACATAATAAGACTAATGTCTTCCATAAGCATGGTCCCATTGCTGTACTTTTTTTGGCTATGAAATGAGTTCACTGATCAGAAATAATGCTGTGTGAAATGACATGATTTTGGATAGGGCATTCTGTAAGTCCATGGATAGTAGTTTTGGCAAAAGCATTGGGAAGCAATTCACATCCAAAGTACATGTCTATTCCAGTAAGAACAAAATGCTGCACATCCATATAGGAGTGGTCCAATCTAATCAACTTGCTACTAAGTAGCATGCTTATCACCCCAGAGAGGACTCAGTCTTCATCTCTGCTATTGGCAGTTTGGGCATCTAGAGTAGCAGTAGCCAGGTCAGCCTCAGAGAATGGAAGTCCATGTTGCTGAACGCAGACATAATCTCCATCCTTGCCATCATGACCACTTCATTCATTGTAACCACCTTGGCTGCTGCCTAGACAGAGCCAATTTTTCAAGACAGGAGAAGTGCAATAGAGAAAGAGTAATTCATGCAGAGCTGATTGTGTGGGAGACTGGAGTTTTATTATTACTCAAATCAGTCTCCTGGGCATCTGGGGAGTGGAGTTTTTAAGGACAACTTGGTGAGTGGCAGAAGCCAGTGAGCCGAGAGTGCTGATTGGTCAGGGATGAAATAATAAGGAGCCGAATCTGTCTTCTGGCTCTGAGTCAGTTCCTGGGTGGGGGCCACAAAATTCAATGAGCCAGTTTATTGATATGTGTGGTGCCAGCTGACTCATCAAGTACAGGGTTTGCAAAATATCTCAAGCACTGTTCTTAGGAGCAGTTTAGGGAGGGTCAGAATCTTGTAGTCTCCAGCTGCATGACTCCTAAACCAATATTTGTAATGCATTATGAGATTATGAAAAGTATTTGTTCAGTGCAAAGAACTTTGTATATGCAAAGAAAGGATAATATAGTCTATATTATATTTCTATTTTTATATAAAAAATAGACCTTTCATTGATTCCTAGATTAGACCCAAGGAAACAAAAAGAGATTAAAAAAAAAGATTGAAGGTTTTAGATCTTGTGTTTAAAAGATAATTAAATTATATAAGTTAAAAAAAAAAAAAACCTTTAGGAAGTGTGAGGTCCAAAGTTAATGTCTGTCAGAATATTTATGTTCATGAAAATAAAACAGCCTAAAGTATATTGTTGTTATTTTAGTTAATATTAACACTTACTAAGACCAAGCACTTTGCTAATTCTTCGGGTGAATAACGTCATTGTACTTTGTAAATAATAATATCACTTTCCCATTTTAAGTTAAGGGAAACGAGGATAAACAATATCTGTTAATTTATCCAAAGTTATAGCTAGAATTCAGGTATAAGTGAGTCAGGACCCCAGCCTTATATTCAATGCCTATTTCAATCTTTACTAAATCATATATACTATATTATATCTTACTCACTATGCTATTCAAAAAAGACCAATAGGGTAAGAAAAATAGCAATAATAGTAGCTAATATTTATTTTAAATATACCTAGTACTAAACACAATGCTGAGTTTATGGTATCATTTAATTAAATTGATTATGGAGGATATTATATTGAATAGGACATTAATATTAATGAGTATTATAAAATTAAATTCTATCACTAATGATGTTAGGATGATGAGGATGACAAAGTTGAAGGAAAGGATATGCAGATCATTGCAAGAGAACTTCTTAAACAGAACAATGGGGAAAGTAGTCCCTATTTAATAAATTGTGCTGGGAAAACTGGCTAGCCATTTACAGAAAGCTGAAACTGGATTCCTTCCTTACACCTTATACAAAAATTAACTCAAGATGGATTAAAGATTTAAATATAAGACCTAACACCATAAAAACCCTAGAAGAAAACCTGGGCATTACCACTAAGGGTATAGTCATGGGCAAGGACTTCATGACTAAAACACCAAAAGCATTGGCAACAAAAGCCAAAATAGTCAAATGGGATCTAATTAAACTAAAGACCTTCTGCACAGCCAAAAAAAAAAAAAATCATTAGAGTGAGCTGGCAAGCAACAGAATGGGAAAAACATTTGCTATCTACCCACCTGACAAAGGACTAATATCCAGAATCTAAAAAGAACTTAAACAAATTTACAAGAAAGAAACAACTGCATCAAAAGTGGGCAAATGGTATGAACAGACACTTCTCCAAAGACGACATTTATGCAGCCAACAAACATATGAAAAAAAGCTCATCACTGGTCATTAGAGAAATGCAAATCAAAATCATATTGAGATACCACCTCACACCAGTTAGAATGGTGATCATTAAAAATATCTGGAGACAACAGATGCTAGAGAGGATGTGGAGAAATAGGAATGCTTTTACACTGTTGGTGAGAGTGTGAAATTAGTTCAACCCTTGTGGAAGACAATGTGGTGATTCCACAAGGATCCAGAAATAGAAATACCATTTGACCTAGCAATCCCATTACTGGGTATGTACCCAAAAGATTATAAATCATTCTATTCTAAAGACACATGCACACATATGTTTATTGTTGCACTGTTCACAATAGCAAAGACTTGGAACCAACCCAAATGCCCATCAGTGATAGACTGGATAAAGAAGATGTGGCATATATACACCATGGAAAACTATGTGGCCATAAAAAAGGATGAGTTCTTGTCCTTTGCAGGGACAAGGATGAAGATGGAAACCATCATTTTCAGCAAAATGACCCAAGAACAGAAAATCAAACACTACCTGTTCTCACTCAGAAGTGGGTATTGAACAATGAGAACACATGGACCTAGGGATAGGAACATCACACACTGGGGCCTGTTGTTGGGAGTTGAGGGGATAGGGGAAAGATAGCAGCGGAATGGAGGGATTGGGGAGGGATAGCATTAGGAGACATACCTAATGTAGATGATGGGGTGATGGATGCAGCAAACCACCATGGCACGTGTATACATATGTAACAAACCTACATGTTCTGCACATGTACCCCAGAACTTAAAGTATAGTGATAAAAAATAAACATAAAAAAAGAAATAAAATATACCAAAAAAAGCTCAATTGTTAATTTAAGGGTTTAGCAGGAAACTTACTATCAAGTATGTTTTAATGGATATGCAAAATGAGTTTTTTTCTCTAACTGAAACAGGCTGAGTACTCTTTTTTAAAAGATTTCTTTTTTGTCATTTTGTATCTTGTAGAAAAATCAAGCTTTGTCTGAAGGCCAAGCTTTATTCCAAGGAGGCATCAATTTCCACTTTTTAAGGATATCAAAGAGGTTTCAAATCATATTCAATATTTCTCAATTAGTTGAAAGTGAGTTTCATTGTGGACCCTATATTTTTCTGTATCCCCGTCATTACTCATAGTAATGAACTAATATTTAAGATCCAATTCAGACCTCTTATGAGGTTGAAATTAATTACTTTATTTAGGTCAATTATATTGAACTCTACACTCAAATATTTTACAAATAGTACAGCTTTCTTTGTTTATTCCTTTGTTTAATTTATTTGCCTATTGTAAGAACATTACCTATGATTTGATTCTGTAATATATCATCTATTGACATTACCTGTGATTTGATTCTGTAATATATCATCTATTTCATTTCTCAGTTCAATCATGGGCCAAGATAAGATTTCCTACTCTTTATTTAATGTAACCTTACGAATGACTTGATAAATTTTGCAATATAATTTGATATCCATCTGCTGTAATTTTTTTTAAAGCTTTGATTGTATTTTGAGCCATGTTGGTAAATGAACAAAGTAAATAGACTTGGTGTGGGAAGAGGCAGTACAAACAAACACTAGAATAACCACAGATTAATTGCACCGAGTGATTAGTTTTAGAATCCGTAACATTTGATTGAGATACTATCCTTTTACTTGCAAATGTCATTCAACCTCATAAAGGAAAATTATAAAAAGGAAGTGACCATTATCTCTTTTATATGATCAGAACCAGAAAAGAGTGTTATGAGGGAAAGAGGTGAGGGGATGGGCCCATGCCACTTTAAGAGTACAAGGGTTTAAAAACACCATAGTACATTAGGGATTTCTCCAAGAAGCCGTTTGTTTCAGTTTAGTCACTTCCTTTTATGAGAGACAGCAACTCAGCTCAAAATTGCTTAAGCAAAGAAGTATTTGGCTTACATTTTCTTACTTCAGGTATAAATGGATCTTCCTGTTCATACCATGCCAGTCAATAAACTGAACGCTATTGGTTCTGAATCACATGACGGTATATTCTATCCATCTTTAATCCAATCACTATGGTTAAAAGAATGACATGCTCTAATAAACCATCCCTAGATTCTGTGATCATCCCTGGAACCAATGGCATGTAGACCTCATAGGCTAATACTTAATGAGGCATGGATTCTCAAGGAAAATTGGGGTGCACTTACCATGAGGAAGATGAATGAATGCGAGGCAGACAAATTAACAGGTGTCTACTAAACCATCTGAAAAATAAAAACACTAGACATTAGACATTTATTAGCATTGCTAGAGGCCAGGTGTGGTGGCTCACACCTGTAATCCCAGCACACTGGGAGGCTGAGGCTTGAGGTCAGGAGATCAAGACCAGCCTAGCCAACATGGTGAAACTCCGTCTCTACTAAAAATGTAAAAATTAGCCAGCCTGTAGTCCCAGCTACGCGGGAGGCCAAGTCAGGAGAATCGCATGTACCTGAGAAGTGAAGGTTGCAGTGAGCTGAGATCACACCATTGTACTCCAGCCTGGCCATCCTGGTGAGATTCTGTCATAAGAAAAGCAAAACAAAGCAAAAACCAATCATTACTAGAGAAAATGAGAAAAGACATCCTATTGCAAAACTGGCGATTGTCATTTTAAAGTATTCAGTTAAATAAGCCTCTGTTTTTCTGCTCTAAGATACTGTGTAACAGCAACATGGCTCAATTACTCTTCTTATCACATATTATATTGCACAGCATAGTGTATCTCCTTACTTGATTAAACTATTTTTCAATTGCACTGTTGCAAAATAATTTTGTTAGATATTGCATATTAAATAACCTGATTAATTTATTGCTTTTCTGATAGTTTTATTTCTTAACAGGAAGAATATACTTTGAAAGCATAAAAGGAACAAAACCATTCACTTAAACATCTGGTTTTAATATGGTGGTTTCTAATTCTTTTACGTAGTCAATTATTTTCCTTTCAAATGGAATCTAACTTAAAAGCAGCTTTGAGAAGCCTTATTAAAAGGAATTACTAAACAGTAGTGCTGGCCTTGGTAACAGAGCATTAACAAAAGGATAAATAATTAATTATTTAAAAAGCTATTCATGAAGCTTTGTTCCAAACCACACAACCTTATATGTTTACCTGTTCTGATACCATTTAACAGTTGAAAAATCAATTCCTAATCCCATTCTATTCAAAGGCTCATCAGTGCCCTGCTAACAGGAATCCTGTGCTAACAGTCACTGTGTAATGGACTCTCAGCCTATCATTTTCTTAATTTGTTCCATTTGCAAAGCAAATCTCCACACTGACCTTTTAAATGAATAACTACTCTGAAATGGCCTCAAATAATATAACTGATGAATTACCTCCTTTTCTTCTGTCTCTTTAAACAGATCATTTTTGTTCTGACATCTCCCAATATTTCCTGCTACTAAAATGTTCCTGCTGTTCATTCAGTCTTCTGTGGATCTGTATAAATTTACTCCTATGGATAGCTGGAAGTTCAAAAGGATAATATTTATCTTTGTGAAAGGTATGTATGATGAAAGCAACAAGTTAAAATTTGCTCTATTTGCTTCCAACCTACCCTTCCACACACATCTCCTGCCGGATTTGAATTATTTCAAGTTATGTTTAACCGTCTAAACACATTCTTCCAATGCATTCTGCATAAGCCAGCATTTTCTCAGGTAAATGTTCCTTGATTTCTGGTGGGATGCCATTTCTATGATTTCCAGCTTTAGAAAATTGCATACTTTTTACTCCTAAAGATATCAATATTTTCCATAATGTTGTATGCCAGCCCATGTTAGGAGAATTAAGCAGATGAATAAAGAGACTTTAGAGTTGAAAGGTTTGGTATAAGTATTTTGGAAAGAAAAATGTGGCTAAAATCTCAGAAAATGTTTGATTGCCCTGGGGTTACTGATGGATAAGGTAGTTTAGAGGCCGTGATTTGAGCTGTCACTAGTTTATAAGCCATAATTATTTCCTGGAACAGCATTCAGCTGCAATATGATTTGAGACATCAGCTATAAAAAAACACATATATTTTCAACTTTAGAGATTATGAGAGAAAAAATGAAAGAGTCATAGCACATCTAAGTTCCAGCATATGTCCATGTAGTGGGCTGTGGAATGGAGTCTTCAGGCTAGTGTTGAAATTGAATAGATCTTTAGAACTATATTGTTGGGCATGTTTAAAACATGAATGTTAGACTATTTCCCTGATGACAGTAAGAACTGAAATCAAGAAGATTGTAAGTTGGGATTCACTTCCCTCTCTAATACTTTGGGAAAATATAATAATTGGGAGGTTAAATATTAAGAGAAGCAGGAGGCAGCCAAATCCCTAGGCAGATAGGGGTGGGTCCCCAGTGAAACCCCACCTCCAAGCCAAAGACTGTTTAAGGCCTGAAAGTCGAGCTACAAGTTGTATCCATGCCCCAGATTAGAAACTTGTCTTCATGTTTGGTGCATTTTTCTCTGATTGATCCCCACCCTTTCCTAATTGGTTTTCTACACTGTTGTGCCCACCTTTGAGTGATGTCTTCCATTTATTTAATGTTTTTTGCATACTCACAAACTGATTGGCACATACTTCCCATTCCCAACCACATGGGGGACTTTCCCACCTTCAGGTAGGGAAACCACCCCCTGTGTCGCCTCTTTGCTGAGAGCTTTCCTTTTGCTGAATAAATTCTACTCCACTCACTCTCTGGTGTCCATGCACATAATTTTTTCTGGTTGTGAGACAAGAACTGAGACATAGCTGAGCTAAGGATCAGAAAGACCTCAATAATATGACAGTAAAGGATGTTTTTATATTGACTAGTCATGTATTTCATGAATCTGAATAAAGGGGTTCTCTTTCAATGAAGAAAAACAATGGTGTCAATTTAATGCCATTAGCACCATTATTTCTCCTGACTTGTAATATATTAGAATGGGAGGTTGAGCCATTTCCACTTTAGAAGTTAACAGGGCTAATGGCACTCTAGGGAAAATTGAGTCTTAGTGAAGGTAGAGGAAGAAGGAAATAGTTCATTTAGATCCTGAAGTTCTATACAAGTTTTGGAGCACAGTCGTGGGGAAACAAAATCAAAAGGAAGAAGCATTAGCCATCAAATGATGAATGTGCGTAAGAGGATAATTGAAAGCTCGCATTTTCACATGGTAAAGGGCAGAATTGAAAAAGATTGACAGCTTGATAAAAATAGTGATTTTTGCTCAATTTTAAAGTGTATATTACAAATAATTTTTTCTTGTATCTCTGAAGAAATCTCTTCCAAAAAGCTAGTTGGGAAGATTATTTAGATTACAGTATATCTACCTTCTATTGGAAAAAGTTAGTTGAAATTTCTGGGAGAACCCAGGCTTCAGAAAATTGCAAAAGTGAAGATGGCTGTAGAGAATTTAGAGAAAAATACTTTGATCAAAGATTCCCAAGTGATTTATATTCTCAATCACTCACTTCCCAATGGAAATGCATATAGTCTCTCTGTGGCCATAAAAACAAAGCTTTATTGGAAAGTCTACATATCCACTGGGAAAATGGCCCTTGGTTAGAATTTCTTTTACCCCACATGGAAGAGATCAGTAGTTATCCAATGGGTCTTCTGCCAAGAGAATCACAGCAGGTGGCATTTGATCTTTGAGGGTATTTATTGCATTTTCTCACTATGCTATATATCACTAATCCAATAAGCTTATATTACTTAATTTCTTATTTTTTGATTTTATTTTTGAATGTTTCTTACAGGTTATCATCTTAAATAAACATTGTCTACATTCAAGACTTCCAACCTCTAACAATTTCATTTATTTATCTTGCTAGAAATAACATGACTAAGAATATAAATATAAGAATATGATGGTTTTTAAAATACCAATATTTCTGTAGGACTAACTAGGTGTGAAAAAACTAACATTTTTTAAATGCATAATATCATTACAGTCTTTTTACTGAAATGGTTATGTGTGTCCTGTCTTCTATTTAAAATAAATTCAGTCGATTGCTAGGAACAGTATGTGATGCTTTCCATTTAAGGTAGCAGTGAGTTTACTGTCCTCCAGATAGATTATTTGTCCTTATGAATGCAGATAAATAAACTAATCGTTACAGGAATAGAGATAGGATGACAAGACAACACATGCTATAGTCTGACTGGGCTACTGTCTACAATACTGGTCAACATTAAACTAGTATGAGACTCCTGTGAATTATAAACTGAAAGATTAGACTGGTGAAGGACCCCTAAGAAGTCATGCAGAAATCAGTAAAGGAGTGTTTCCTACTATATTCCTGCCAGATAATCATCTGTTTAAACATTCTAGTGATGAGATAACTATAATTTTTGGTTTTTCTTTATAAATTACTTAAGCCATAGATTTATCTCAAGAAAGCTTTAGTCATCCCCATCAGGACAATCTATTAAGATTATTCTTAAATTTAATGTAATTACTGAAAATAACTTCTATGTCTTCCTTTTTTACTTTTATTTTAAGTTCTGAGGTGCATGTGCAGATCATGCAGGATTGTTCATATGTATACACATGCCATATGTAAGGTTTGCTACATCAATCCTCCTGTCATCTACATTAGGTATTTCTCCTAATGTTATCCCTCCCCAAGCCCTCCACCCCCTGCTATCCCTCCCCTAGCTCCACCCACTCCCAACAGGGCCTGATGTGTGATGTTCCCTTCCCTGTGTCCGTGTGTTCTTATTGTTCAGCACTCACTTATGAGTGAGAATATGTGGTGTTTGGTTTTCTATTCTTGTGTCAGTTTGCTGAGAATTATGGTTTCTAGCTTCATCCATGTCCCTGCAAAAGATATGAACTCATCCTTTTTTATGGCTACATAGTATTCCATGGTGTATATGTGCCACATTTTCTTTATCCAGTCTATCATTGATGGACATTTGGATTGGTTCCAAGTCTTTGCTAGTGTGAACAGTGCAACAATAAACATACGTGTGCATGTGTCTTTAGAATAGAATGATTTATAATCCTTTGGATATATACCCAGTATTAGGATTGCTGGGTTAAATGGTATTTGTCATCCTAGATCCTTGAGAAATTGCCACACTGTCTTCCACGATGGTTAAACTAATTTCACACTCCCACCAACAGCGTAAAA